TTCCACCATGCTTCTGCCTCTTATAAGATCAACGGACATGCGCGTCTCCCGTTTCTTGAATATTCTCGCTGTCGATCGCGGAAGGAGAGATCTTCTGCCTCTCACAATCTGAAGAAGAGACAGGGAGAAGCATTGCAAAGGTGACATACACATAGAGTTTGTTGTGTATTTCTAATATTTACAAGAAGTGTGTTTAGATGACTTACAAGAAAGACTGTACCTTCCGAGTTGACTAGATTTATTATAACAAAGTTCGTCGAGTGAGTTACACGTGCTACGATCTATTATACTCGTGCAACCTCATCATTTAGAAATTGGACTTGATTATTATATTCCGAGGCTCTATAGTATATATACTTATCATATACGAACACTTAGTTACGGGATCGAGAATCGGGGAAGAAATAAGTCCTCGGAAAGAAGTTGGAAAAGCAAATAGTCGAGTGAAGAAAAATCTACGATAAAACCGGTATTCGCCTGTCACGAATACAGCCTTCTTTTCCCCCAAAAAATTTACGTTTGAAAATCATCGTTCATGGCTGCGGCAGGCAATCTAAGACTCACGCTTGATGACTTTATCAGCAGAATTAAATTACATCATATCTGCTTTATATGTCAAGTACAGTTCAAGATTAATGTGGACTTGGAAGAACACATGAAATTGCACCACAACTGGCCTTACATATGTCATGTAATCAAGTGCAATGTTATTTGCGATAATTGGCAAAGATTCCAACAACATATGGAAATGCATTCTTATACCACGGGTAAGGAATTGTGTACTTATTGCTACAAACTATTTTCCAGCAAAAGTTCATTGTTTAGGCATTGGATAAGACTGCACGGTAAGGATATATATCTTCGTCCATATAGCGGCAAAGAGTTTTTTTTCAGATCAAACGTAATATTTAATCAATCTGCATTCTATGTACAGGACAGTTCCAGCGCAACATATTACGTACGCTACATTCCGAAAGTTAGATTACAATTTTCATATGACTCATATTCGGTCCCATACACTGTATCTAAATAGTCGTTACTGGAGTCATTGGAGTAGCTGAATCACTTTTTATCCAGTTGGAAGAAATGTAAGAAGAAAATACACTTACAAACGTCAAGCAATATAATAATATAAAAAGATCGTTTCTACAGAATTTCTGTATTATTCGAAAATTATCAGTCATTAAAAAATAGCTCCATACGGAACAAATTAAAACAGGTTAATTTAGAGGAAAAATATGTATCGAATAACAAAATACCTTGACTTACCATATTTATTCGAATAAGTAATTGCGATTGCATAATTAACTTATTCGAATAAATTAAGTAAATGGCTTGTGATTCTTTAACTAACTACATATATTGGATATTGTTACCCTCGACTGATATACATGTATTATACTCTCGACACATGGCAACTGTATGTATTAAATTTATAATAGTTATTAATATAGTTATTATAATATGATGATATCTTTTATTTGATTTATCATATATTATATAATAATAATATGAAATAACATTATTTATATGAATGATAGTAATATTTATATATAAATTAATAAATTATATATAAATATCTAAAAATTTATGCAGTCAGTTATATAAAATATAGTTTCAAGTTAAATTTCTTTCTCAGAACAAATAAATTTCAAATATTCTTCACAATAATTCCACATCAACTAATAACAATTATTTCATATAACTGGACAACGCAAGCGTCATTTGCTCTCTCTCTAAATATTTGGAAGGTTTGACAGCTGCAAATAACACGACTGAAGCATGTTGTATCGCACAAGCGAGACAGCCAATCAGTTAAATCAGTATCAGGGAAAAGTGACAATACTTCGAGACTTTCGACTATCGACTTAACACGCCTCTTTTTTTAATAACAGGAATATTAATGATTATACAAATTATGTTCTTTAATATTTTGAATTTTATATTCGAATATTTGGAAGAAGCATTCGTATATGAATAACTTGCGGCATATTCTTCTTTGTGTAGAACATTATTATTTCTCTAATAATATCTACAAGTATAATAATATAATATAATGTAGCGTGTGCGTGTAAACAAGTACCTTGTAATTATATTATTTGTAAACAAGCGCTAATGCGGTGTGAGAATTTAATATACGGGAATATTAAGAAACTTCAAAATATTTACGTTTATTTTCTAAAAACTAAATTATTCCGAAAAAATGTGAAACTGTATAAAAAGTTCAGATAAATCGTAAAATTTCCTAACTTTTCCCTGACATTTCCAATTTTCTAAAATTCCCTGACAATTCCCGGTTTTCCAGATTTACCTAATCACTGGACACCCCGAGTAAAGAATCGCCAGAGCAAGGTCGTTTCCACATTTATTCAAATTCCTCATTTCCTGACTGGCGTGAACTAAGCTGATATTTAATTGGATAATATGATTTCCCTCAGCGGACGGCCGAGGAAAGGTGGAGCTGGGAACCCGAACGGAGATGCGGGAAGACACCCCAGGTGTCTCCTCGCGGCTTGTCCCTGAGTAAATCATTCCCGTGAAAGTCACGTTCCCGAGCGAAGGATACGACAGCCGGGGATATCCTGTCACGCGGACGTCTCGCCGGCGGCGTGAAAATTTCAGGAGGATTCCCCAAGGCTCCTCGCCCGCTTCCATTTTTCTCCCCCTGTGCAAACACGCGGGAAACAAACGCTCGCGATCGAGTCCCATCCCCGGGGCCTGTGTCTTCCCACGCGCCGCGAAGATTCGCGTTCCGCGAAACGCCGAAATTCGAACAGGTTGCGGCGCACGCGTGGCAAGATGGCCGTAACGCCGACGGGGGTAAGTCGCGCGCGGCGCGGTGTCGGCGCGGGGTTGGCGCGACGGGGGTCGCCCGTTCGTTCGTCCGTCCGTTCCTACGTTCGTTCGTTCGTTCGCCCGTCGGTGGCGGCGGCGGATCGATAGCGGCGCGACGGTAGTGCGCGAGCACCGTGAGCGACGGTCGTTGCCGCCGCCGTCGTCGTCGTCGTCGTCGACACCGTCGTCGTAGTCGCCGCCGTGCTCGTCGTCGCCGCGTCCGATAGTCCCCCGAGTGCCGGGAGTCGCGCGCGAGTCGAGCGGGGGTGCGCGGAGTCCTCGGGGCGTCGTCGGTCGCCGCGGATGCCGATTACCCGCGCGCTATCGCGGGACGCGCGTCGTCGGCGGTAGCTGTGCGTCCCGTCCGGCCGCGACCCGGCCTCTCGGTGCGAGTGTGCGGACGCGCGCGTGCGAGGGAACGCGGAGGCACCGTCTCTCGGCGCCGCGACGCGGCGCGCCGCGGCGGTTCACGCGGGGTTATGCATCGCGTCGGCGGCGCGGGTGCGGCGCGGGTGAGTGGAAAGCAGCCGCCGGTCGTCGCACTCGTCGTGTCGGTTGGTGAGGCGCGTTGAGGCGCCGCGACGCTGGACCATGTCGGCGATGTCCTGGGGCACGGATCGCGGGGCCCGCCGGCACGCGGCGCCGCGACGCCGGCGGACGCCCGCCGCCCTGCTGATCGTCGCCGTCGTCGTCCTCGGCCTGCTGTCGGCCACCGCCGTCGCCGAGAAGAGCAAGAAATGTGAGTAGACCGCAGAGAGCGACGAGGTCGCTCGTCGCCCCGCTGCTCATTTTCGAACGCGAACGCGTCGTTCGTAAATCGGCGCGATTTACGCGCGGCTGCACGTGGCGGTCGCTCCGAACGCCAGGTGCGTGCGGATCGGCTCGTCGCGCCGGCTAGAGACCGGGCTCGTCGCGCACTTGTCACGTGCGGAGCGAGATTTCAGCCACTTTAGGCAGTTTATCGATTCGCCGCATATAGGCCACGGCACCGCGACGTTCGTACAGCCGCGCGTTCCTTGCTCTATTTACAAATAATTTAGAATACTCGGGCGTTCGAGCGCGCGACAAATTTTCGCCGAGTACATTGGACGAAGTAATATACTTTGGGTATTCGGAACTCTCTTTTATCAATACAAACGCCTCGACAAAGTGGCCAATAAGCCTTCGATTGGCCACGAGCCGCTATCGATGAGATAGGGATTCGGAACGTGGGCCTTAATCTGATAGTAAATATCAAGCCGTACCACGCGAACGGCGCGCGTAAACAACGGTACGCTCCGACTTACGGCGTACGAATCGCGTGCTGCGAAATCGCACGCGTGCCAAATCGGGACGACAGATCGCGGCCGGAATTTCCCAGCGCCGTTCGGCGTCGCGAGCGCATAAAACGCTCGCGACGCAATCTCTCTCCGTGCACTTTGTATCCGAGTGTATCTCGGAAACTTTGTACACCAAGGATCTAAACTTTACGCGTGCACGCACACGTTTTACGGGTGCCGCGATAACCCCGGGGGAGCCGCAACACGCCCCGATTTTTCCCCGCCAGCGCGAGGGGCCGCTCGCACAAGTTTTCGAGCGGGCGTCTTTCATTCAGGACACGAGCGAACGGTAGTACGCGCGTAGTACGCGTGTAGTATGTTTACTACGTTGCGTAGTAACCCCCTTCCCCCCCCCCCCCGCCGCTTGCCGCCTCCCGCGCGCGCTCGACGGAAAAGAATGAACGCGACCGGTCGCGCGTCGGCTGCCCCGTCGATCGAGATCGTCGCGGGGCGGAGGGAAAAACACGCGAGCCACGTCGCACCGGGAGGCTGCGATCCCGGTTTCCGGTGAAGAAGCGATCGCTCCGGCGGACACTTGGCGAGACGTCGCCGATTAATTTGCCAGCGCACACTGAAAAGTCGAACGTTCTCTCGCCGAACACCAAGTTAAGAGGATGCTGGAGTGATTCTGCACTTTCGCACCTTTTGCACTTAAAACTGTCTGTTTCGTGGAAAGATTTGTGTAATACACAAATTAAATGGCACGTGTACAGACGATCGAAAGCAGCTTGCTATTCCGGCTAAATTAAAGAACAATATGACATCACTGAAACTAAGTTTGTAAGTCTAATAAAAAATAATAGTGAGCAACACAATACATACAGTACATGTAGTATATGTGTTGCTCACTATTATTTTTTATTAGACTTACAAACTTAGTTTTAGTGATGCCATATCGTTCTTTCATTTGGCCGGAATAGCAAGCTGCTTTCGATCTGTACACGTAAGCCATTTAATTTGTATATTACACAAATGTTTCCGCGAACTGACAGTTTTTAGGTTAGAAAGGTGCAAAAGTGCAGAATCACTCCAGCATCCCCTTAAGTTTGCGATCGAGGGGGAAACCGCTGACCAAAATCTTGTACACCGATGCCCACTAATGGGCATTGCTTTATCTTGTTATCTTATTTATCTAGTTTTATCTTATTTTATCTTTATAAATTGCCCCAGCAAAGCCTAATGCCCCAAAAATGCTCAAAAAATGCCTACACTGAAAAAAAATTTAGAAAAATTTACAATTCCTTTAGGATTTATGTGTAGTGAAGTCTGGCAAATTTCTGGTTATGAAATATCGTGCCAGCTAGAAATTCTGTTTGGTTTAGCCAAAATACATTCTATCGTGCATGTCTTGTTGATACAATCAAAGCATTTTTTCCCCGTGTATAGTAAATGCCGCAAATATTCCCGTCAATATGAATTGGAAATGTTATGAATGATATTTGAGAGACTCGCGAAAATTGCTGTAAAGTGAAAAAAGTTTTAATTTCCACCCCGGGAGGAGACCAAATAATCTTATTATTTCTCCTTGCTTCGGTTCGCTCTTGCATTATGTATTGTATAATCACGTCGCGTGTATAAGACGAGAAAAGTTGCGGCATTCCTTGCGGTGTAACGGGAATGCGATTCTTTTAATAATCCATTAATAATCGGTTTTGCGTCGCGAGCCGCTTACGTCGCCTCCCCCGCCGTCCTTTTTTTTTAAATCCATCGCGGATCCCGGCCGTTAAGTGCCCAGGGGAATGAAACGCAGTGATTATAAACGTGCGTTTACCGTCTACCGAAGCCTGAATGAGAAACTTAGGAACACTCGATCCGGGCGGTCCCAGGAAAAAAGTTAAATTAACCCCAACTTTAATCGAAGCGGTATAATCGACGGCGCACGTAGAATCCTATCTTTTTGATGAAATTGCCTCGTTACCCGAACTTGGCGAGTGCAAAGGCTCGGCGTCCCGCGGATCCGGTTAAAGAGAACAGCACGCCGTTAACCTCCGTTAGACACGCTCATTAACGCCGCGCACGAATTTTTGCCATTTTCGCCGTTAACCGTCGAGTTTCCCTCGCCCGTGCGGAACCTGAGAAAGGGATATGTTAAAGTTTCGACAAAAATTTCTAATTTCAGGGAAAACCTCCGTGGAGAACTCGCGCGCGCTGAAGATCTTGTATCGCGCACGTCGCGATTCTTCGACGTCCGAGGGGCAAATTTTGCGCGGAGCTTAGGAAACTGAAGCTCCGAAGTTTCGCCACGCACGGGCCACACTGATGGCGTCCCGCTAATTTACTCACGTCGAGCT